GTTGTTTTTACTTTGTCTGTCTTTGGTCTTATTTGTATCCCCTCCCCCCTTGGTTGTTAGCCGCCCCAAGTCCCTCGGAAGTGGGGCGGCATACAAATTAAATAAACATTCCAACATTCAAGTTTTAAAGTCATGGCTGGGCACTGCACGTCTGTCTCCCTTTCCATCCTACTCCTCTTGGATCCCATTCCTAGTCTGCCAGCCCTCGTGTTAACAAAGATGGCATCAGTTGCAGCTGGGTCGCACAAGTATCTTGGGGCGGAGAGCAGGTTTCGTGTCTCCCCAAGTGCCTAAGGCATGCCCAGCACCAACAAGGGCCGGAAGAAGCTCCAGTAAGAGTGAGGCATCAGCTGCTTCTCCATCCCCCACTGTTGCCCTTACTTTCTCAGGCCAAGCAAGGAGTGATTGGGAGACGAAGGGGAGGGACGGCGCCAGCCAGTGGTGGGAATCACCTGACAGGGAGCCACAGCATAGGGCCCAAAGAGCCGTATGCGGCTCTGGAGCCACAGGTTGCAGACACCCGGGTTAAAGACAAGCCCCTCGTCCCTGTCATCCACTCCTCCCTCCTTGCTGACTAATCTGCCTGAATATTGTGATACATACAGCTGTGGAAGATTGAATTTGTGCATTACCATCTCCCTCCTTTCTTTTCTTCCTTCCTTCCTGGGTAGGGGGAGAGATTGACAGTGCTGGAGGCAGCCATGCTGCCTGGACCTGTGGCTTTCCCATGCAGTGGCAGGGGTAGTCCCAGCAAAAGGGAAGCTTCGCAGGTTGGGAGGCCAAGCCGGTGAGCAGGGTATGGAGGCTTATGGCATCCATCTGGGCCAATATGTGGTCAGCCTTAAATCTGACCTGTGTGATCACCCTGGACCCAGCAAGGAGCTTCCGCAATGTCTCTGCCCTGCCCCCTGATTGTGCACACAGGAGGCGAGTGCTGGCATCCTGGGTGAAAGGGAAACCCTCCAAATGCAGTCAGCTTGCAGGACAAGATGGTCCCCAGGGACACCAGGCCCTGTGCGTTCGCTGCCTCCTGTGTGTGTGCCCAGGGAGAAGGGCGGGAGTGGCTCCTCACTAGCTTCAGGACAGCCTCACAGATATAAGGCTGACCACATTGTGGCCCGGATGGACACCACCGGATTAGCGCCCAGTCAGACTGGGCTGGGCCAAGGCGCTGGAGGCTGGTCCGCTGTTTCCAAGGCGGCCCCGATGACCAGATCTAACCATTTTGTGGGCCGGATCTGGCCTGCGAGCCTTGTGTTTGACATGTCTGTGCTAGAATAAAGCCTGAAAACTAATATGAATTCTTACGTATCTTAATTTTTTTAAAAAGTAAGAATTGGGAGTTGATAGATTGTGAAATAGATTGGCCTTCTTTCTTTTTCAATTTTGTTATCTAGTTCTCTTTATTTTATCTCTACAACAGTCCCAAGAGTTAGGCTACAGTGAGAAAGTAATAGACCAATTTTTTTGAGTGTTATTCTCTCTTTTATAAAATATTGTTTTGTTTTTTATTCATTTATTTCAGTCATTCAATTTACACTATTTGGATACTAATTAAAGATAAGAATTCTTAAAGAGATTCAGATGAAATGTCATAAAATTAGATTTATAAGTACAAATTGCCATTTCAATGGCTAAGATGATATGGGAAATATAGCATTTATTTAACAGGAAGATTTCGAAAAGCCCAGAGTATTGTGTTTGAATAGGACTTCCCTGTATTTCAAATTTAAGGATTTCATTTATCTAGCACTTGAATATAATTTTGTTGGTTTCTAAAACTGGGCAAGTATTGTTTCAAAGACATGAGAAAAAGAGAATAAAGGTTTGTACTATATTCATCTTAGTGTTTATCACATTTGTTTTAACAGGGCAATACTTACTTTAAACAAAGAAACTATGATGCTGCAATAGAATGCTACACAAAAGGAATGAATGCAGATCCTTACAATCCAGCATTGCCTACAAACAGGGCATCAGCCTTTTTTCGTTTAAAGAAGTAAGAGTTTGTTTACTTCCATCATATTTCAGTTCAAATATAATTAATTGCAGAGGTTACTGAATTTTTTAATATATATTTTATTGGAGTATGTTTACCACATCATTACCCGGCAAAAAAAAATCTTGCTAGTTTTAACCTTGTAATTATATATATAGATAATAAACTCAAACGAGCTTTTGAGCACATGCGCTAAAATAAACCCTCCCCTGAAAATAAGCCCTCCCTGAAAATATTGCAACACAGCAGCAGCCATGAGATGACCACACTCACCGCCACCTGCACCTCAAAAATAAGACCTCCCCAAAAATAAGGCCAAGTGCTTATTTTGGGGGTCAAAAGAAAATAATACATATACACATACATACACAAATATTATAACAAAAAGCAACACTATTCCTTTTGGAGGGCAGTGCAAAATAAAGCTATCTGAAGATTGCAGAATATACTACAAGCAAAGAAAACAAAACTAATACATTTTTTAAAAAATGTGCTTCAAGAAGAATTACCTCATTTCTAATTCCTTTTTTATTGCACATCAAATTTCACCTTAACAATGCTCAGGAAAATGCATTTTAAAACTCTCATTTTAGTAGTAAAACAATTGTGTGAAGTGAGGAAGACCAAGTGATAATGATAGGCCCCATGCATTTAATTCTTGCATACATTTTGAACAATTTGTGCTTGCTTTTTGTTGTCATTTAATGTGGGTGCTGGGCAAGAAAACCTTTCTATCAAACAGACAAAATCTGGAGAGTTAGCTCTAGGAAAGCATTCTTCACTCGTGGTTACTTTTGTGACATTGTTACTTGGAACATTGCTAGATAAAAGAAGGGAACCAAATTTCAGACAACTTCTTTGTTTTCTGCTATTTTCTAGGTTTTCCCCCATGCTATTTAGGTTTTGAAAAACAAGGATCTTTTGCTAATCCTGTGTTAATTTTGTCTGTTAATTGATCTTTTTAAATACTTCACAATCTTTAGTATATTACAGGTAGTCCTCAATTTAGGATGTCATTAAATGGCAAAAAAATATGCTCATTTGGGAAAATGGATTCAGATTTAGAACTACAAGGTTTGCTTAACAATTGCCATAAAAATGTTCAAAAAAGTTGGGCCTTGACTTACAATGGCAATGGCTTAGAACCAGAATTCTGGTCCCAGTTGTTGTTGTAAGTTGATGACTACTTATACACTGAAATATTGTCCATAAGAATAGTGTCACTTCTGTAACTGGCATTGCTTTTTGGTAAAGTATTTTTCAAACTAACTTTGAGATTTAGAATTCCACGGGTTATGTAATGATCAGTATGAGATTGAAATGAAAAGTAGTAATAAATTGGAAATTGGAGCTACAGTTTACCTTTGGGCCACAGACAGCGCTTCAAGCCAATTGAGTCAATTCATCTTGCTGCTAGTCATCTTTCTTTACTTTCACTTGTCCCAGCATTACAGTCTGCCTAGAATATCACTATTTCCAATTTGTAATTCCAATTTTTAAAGTTCAGGGAAGTTTAAATTGGTTATTCATAAATACAGACCATGTGAAATTCACCAAATTTGCTTAGATATACATAGTGGTAAAGAATATGGCCAGAGCAAGACTATAGAGAAAATTAGCCTTTATAGAGCCATAGAGTCACTGATTCTAAATTAATATTTTTGGAACCTTAAAAAGGGTTAATATTTACAGGTTTTTTTTCCTAGCAGGGTATTTTTCCTGGACACACTTAGATATTATGTTACAAATTTAGTCTAACGGTTCATGTAAGCATCCTGTTTTCTATTTAATTACTTAGGAACCTTGTTTTATTTCAAATTGTGTCTATAACCTAGTTCACTATTAAAGGAATTGATTACAAATTAAATTGAAACACCAGTACCATAACGGTGGTTGGCTGGTGTTCTCCTTCTCAAAATTGGACTGCCAATGTGAGAATTTCCCCCCCACAGTCCTTCCAATGTACAGTAGTAGACTGTGTCTTCAACAGACTTGATAGCTTATGAAGTTAAGAATGGAAGCTTTTTTACACTTTTCTCCAATTGTTCATTGATGACTTTGAGAAATAATATGATGAAATAGTTAGATCATGGATCTAAAAGGCCCAGGTCCAAATTCTTCCCTATGGTAACTTGCTAGACAACTTTGTACGAGATTTCTCAGCCCTCGGTATTCAGAAAAATTAGAGGAAGATATCTTATTGAACTATTGAAAGAAATGTAAGATAAATAGTAGATCAGAATCTATATCTGGGCTTTTCCTTTTATTAATATGTTTTAATGAATAAGTATTTTAATAGCCATACAATATCATTTCAGGTTTTCTGTGGCTGAATCTGATTGCAATTTAGCCCTTGCCTTAAACAAAAATTACATAAAGGCTTATAACAGAAGAGGGGCAGCTCGTTTTGTCTTGGGAAAGTTTAAGGGTGCCAAAGAAGGTACACGTCATGTATTGTATAATGCATTCCTTTTTTTTGTTGTGTTATGCAAAACCTTTGATTTATATAGTATATTTTTCAAATGATCACTATTACTTTCCATACACTGCTGTTTCTCCAGTCTCAGCATAGAAGAATTTGGCCAATTATTCTTATAGGTTGCTTAAGAGTTTTTCTTGTGTTATGGGAAATTTCTGATTTTAAAATTTTAAACACTGACATAATATGATTTATCTGACCTTTGTAGGAGATGATATGGGAAATATCTGGTTTAAAAAAATTAAATATAGCATAAAATGATTTATTTGACATTTGTAGAAGATCTTAAGATTTCTATATACGTTATTTTTTAGTTTTATCCCATCTTTAGGTAGACGATAGGTTATGTTAATAAATGGATAACATAAAATGAACTGTGGCCATGTTCAATCAAAATGAAATGAAATGAAAACAAGTACATGCAAGTTTCTAATATTGTAGAATATAACTATAACACTCTAGACAAATAGTGTGTATTTCAGGAATGATCTAGTTTATCTAGCTCACAGTTTTTGCAAAGCTTCCATGAACTATGTCATTTTATAGCAGAACCTTATATTTTTCTTTCTTTAAAGAATTGCTTATAAAATTATAGTTTTTGAAAACTCTACCTTTATTTCTTCATACAGATTATGAAAAGGTTTTGGAATTAGATCCAAACAACTTTGAAGCGAAGAATGAACTTTGGAAAATTGAACAGGTGAAGAACATCAATTTAATCAATTTGCTAATGACCATGATTTTGTGTAGCTAAATATTTGAAATATTGTTTATGTTTTTATATTAGGCTCTCTTGTCAAAAGAAAACTGTCAGGCTGAAGAAACAGATACTTTTAGGAAAGTGGAAATTGCAGAAGATGTACTGAAACAATTGGAGGAGGAACAATTAAAGCAAAAAGCTATGGCAGAAAAAGATTTGGTAAGCAGCAATGCAAGAATAATTTTTATATATTTAAATTGGAATGTTTTTGGTCTAACGAATCATTTCTTGGCCAGTGACAGAATGACCATACTATTCATGGATTACATTCTCATAATTGATTACTACATTAGCCCAGTATTGTTAAACTGATTTTTTTCTGTGCTTGCTTTGCACATCAGTAATTTCAGATGACACATTGCTTACAATTAGCTTATGACATCTCAGTTAAACTTATAATTTCAACAGTAATGCTAATTGTGGTATAAGGCAATGTAGTCCAAAACAGCTGGAGACATTATGTTGCGTACTGCCTGATACCAAGCATACAGAATTCTATATAGTTGTTTAAAAATTTTCCCCATGGTCAACTCTTCCTGCTCTACTCTTGCAAATAAAATTATTGAGAAAAGTGTTATTTTCAGTACATGAATGCATATATTTAGATTACCACATTTCTTTTTCCAAATATGATAGGGTAACAGATATTTCAAAGAAGGTAAATATGAACTAGCAATAGATTGTTACACACGTGGAATAGCAGCAGATGGCACCAATGCACTTCTTCCAGCAAATAGAGCTATGGCCTATCTAAAAGTTCAAAAGTGAGTTGCGTTAATTTACCATTTTTATAAAATTCACTTTAAAATGCATAATGATTTTTATTAAACCAACTGTTCATTTTATTGGTTGTTGGGAATGGCTTACGAGGAGTCCTTGGTGCTCTCTGAGCTTGTTTTTTTTTCTTGCAGACGTTTCATTACCCTAATTAGGTAACATCATCAGTGCTAGTAAGGAGATTTCTCAGACTGCCAGGCTTCTAGAAATTCCCTGGCATTTTTGAACTTGACCTGGTCTAAGATTGTCACATTTTTCCAGTTGATTTTCTCTGACAATCAGCCATCATTAGACACATAAACATTAACATCTATACTTTATACTAAAGCCCAAAAGAGTAAAAAAAGACTCCAGCACTTCTCCACCAGTAATCGGCACTCAGATCAGCATAGAATAACTTCAAGGTTAACTTCAGACCAACAATCAAGTAAGCAGTACCCCAGTCAAGAAACTGCCAAACAGTCCAATCAAGGAATCTCTAAGACCACCCTGACCTACACAGACAGGCAAGTCTCCAGAATATAAACTGACATCAAATAGCACTCCTTACTAGCACTAATGATGTTACTTAGGGCAATGAAACGTCTGCAAGAAAACAAGTACCGTATATACTCGAGTATA